CACACACACACACACACACACACACACACACTCAAGGCTCTGCCTGTTCTTGTTATGGCTGTCAAGTATGTGCCTGTGATAATTGATTTTTGCATTGTAAAGAAGTGTGCTGGCTGGATCTTTCTTTCTTTTTTGACCTCATGTCTAATATCATAGTCTGAAGGACACAAAAAAGATCGGAGGGGCCTGTGATGAACGTAGCCTGTCTGTATTTTCTATTTTGCTTTAACTGTTTTAAGGTACTCAGTGTTTTAATAGCTGTTTATTTTATTTCTTTTGTTAATTCATATTGTGTTTGGAGTTTTTATTTCCATTCAGTTTAGGACCAGCTAATTCATTACTTTCAGTATTTGTTTTAGTCTTTTGAATTATTTATGTGAATGGATGGTATTTGTTAGGGGTGAGTTGATATTACAGTGCAAACAGGCTTACAGTCACACAGACATCCCAAGTTTCAATAAACGTCTGTACCAAAGCAGACCTGCACCAGAAAGCAAGGTTAACAAACCCGGAGTCTGATCCTGAACTTCTGAGCTCGGACTCTGCTTTTAGTATGATCACCCTGAGTTAAACAGCGCGGGGGAAATTTTTAAAATGGAGCTCAAGGATTGACTGTTTGCAGGTAAATAAACATCAGAGCCTCCATTTTACTCCTGTGAAACTGTAAATGTGACTGTATGTCAGTGGGGACCACAATGTTTATCTTTAAAATACAAGAAAAAGAGTTATATAATTTATTATGATCCCTTATTAATATAGGTAAAGTTGTAATTCCAGCTGAATTTTATATTAACTTTTATATTATATATTAATTTTTTTTAAAATGGTGCAGCTCCCGTTTTGCTGCTAATTTCACCTAATGACAGCTAGCAACCACTCGCCAACCCGCTGGGGATTACACATTTTTCCTTAGTGACCGGAGTTTACCAAGGGTAGGCTGACTGGTGACCAGGATTGCGTTACATCATCTTCAACAAAATTCCTACTATGACAGGAATTTATCCAACATGGTTTACAAATCGTTTGTATGAATGTGTTTGTACACCACTTTGCATTTAATCATTAGTTATTATTAATCTCTGGCTCTCTGCAGTGTCTTCTGTGCTGTCTTCCTCTCCTCATCCCCAGCCGATCATGGCAGGTGGCTGCCCCTCCCTGAGCCTAGGGTGGTTGGTTGATTGCTGGGGTTTTCTCTGTATTATTGGAGCATGTTTACCATACAGTATTAAGCACATTGAGGGGACTATTGTTGTGATTTGGCACTATATAAATAAAACCTAACTGAACCGAATTGAATGAGGAAATAAAAACAGAATGAATTTTTATTTTTTCTTTGCTAATTGGGTTGATTGGGACCTAAAGAATGTAAAAACAAAGAATTACCAGTTTGTTTGTTTGTTTTTTAAACCTAATTTTTGTTTTTGAGAAAAATGAGATCCACATATGAGGACATTCATTTCAAATTTTGATTGAACAGTGGCAGTATAATGTTCTCGTAAGTGGATATCAGTCCCTTATAGAGAAAATTTAAGTATTTTGGTGTAGACGTCTACATATGTGGACGCCAGGTCCTAGGAGGTTAACGTTGGCTCTGTTCTGTGTCCCAGTAAGCCCCGACAGTGAACCACCATAACAACCCAAAGTTCTAGAAACCGCTAAATATGTTCAGCTTTCTTCATTTTATTATTTACAGCTGTGACACAACCCTGGCAAAGGTCTGTAAAGTTGTTTGTGATAGGAGAGCCGTATATTTATCATGACAGACTTAAGTCATCAAATATTTCAAGACACAGAAAACTACTTGATGTTAAGCGTGGGGGACAGGGATAGTGGCTTTTGTGTGAGTTTCTGCAGTACAAAATCAAACATGTGAAAGATCAGAATAACAGATTTTAAAGGATTTAACAATTGCGTTCTTGAAAATAAAACCTCCTTCAGTATTCAGTTTTTCCTTCCTACAGTTGCGTAGTTCGTCCTTATAGTGATCATCTGATTGTTGAGGTTTTCTCTCTATTGGGGTTGAGGTTTTCTCTTTATCTTACAGCAATTGAGGAATGAAGGCAACATTTGTTGTGATTTGGCACTATACAAATTGAACGGAAGTAAAAATGCATTTAGTCTCTTGTTGTGACATTGTGGCAAAAGTAGCCATCTTCCAAAAATAAAAAGCTCTCTGACTGTTTTTGTTTCTATTAATTTTGTAATCCAGTGTCGTACAGTTTAATCATCACTTATTATTCATCTCTGGCTCTCTTCCACAACATGTTTTTTGTTCTGTCCTCCTCCCCTCACCCCAACCGGTTACGGCAGATGGCCGCCCTTACCTGAAGGTGGTTCTGCTAGAGGTTTCTTCCTGTTAAAAGGGAGTTTTTCCTTCTCGCTGTCGCCAAAGTGCTTGGTCATAGGGGCCATATGATTTTGTTTTCTCTATTGTATTATTAAAGGGTCAACCTTACAATATAAAGCGCATTGACGCAACTGTTGATGTGATTTGGCACTGTATAAATAAATAGAACTGACATGAATTGAATTCATACAAGAATGAATCTTTGACTAGGTTGTGTAATTTGAATGTTAAATATCTTGAAGCCTATTAATAAATCGATGTTTTCCTCCCTTCCATCTTTCAGCAATTTTTCCAGCTGGCGAAACTTAGAAAACTTGGCCTGAGTGACAATGAGATCCACACAATTCCATCTGAAATAGCCAACTTTATGCAGCTGGTAGAACTGGATGTCTCTCGAAATGGTAAGCAGAGTAAACACTGGTATATCACATGGCTAAACCACAAAATAACAACACAAGTAAACATGTTCAGAGACGTTTCATCTGTCACTGCTAGAACAGGTTTTTACACAGAAGAGCTCAGAAAAAGAATTGCACTCACATATTTAATTGCCATTACAAAAACTAATGCCACAAACAAATTTAAAGATTAATTGACTTATTCTTTTTGATATACTGGTGAGGTTCCTTCTGTAACAGAGCAAGCCTTTCTCAGCTGTAGCTGTAAAGACCTCTTAAGTTCAGAGACAGCTTAAACAGCTTTGTTCTACATAAAAACACTTATTATTTCACTTATGTACTTTTCTTTTTTTTTTTTAAGTTGGCACATTTTAAGACCCAATTGCAGTCAATGAGCAGTGTTATAATTAACATATTTTCTCTTGTTCAGATATTTTGGGCATTCCAGAGAGCATTTCAAACTGCAAAGCTCTCCAAGTGGCTGATTTCAGTGGAAATCCATTAACAAAGTAAGAATTTGACATACTTTAAAAAAAACTGTGATTATTTTTAATACTTTTACAACAGTCTGCATTCAAGGCTTTTCAAATGGTACATTTCATATGTGTTTATTTTTATATGAAATATTATATATATATATATATGTGTATATAT